TCCTCAGTTCTGCTGTTATCCTTTGGTGTAACTCACGGTTGAGGTTGAACAAATTCACTCCTTGAAGTTCCTCCATGAACAAAATTTGACATATTGCCCAGCGAGATAGACTTCTCTGCACTTGCTCCTACATACCCAAGTCCCCAGTTTTTCTTGGGAGGTAATCCCATTGAAAGGATTTGATCCAGATTTTCTGCTCCTGTGTTCAACATCCTAATCTTCTTGTGATTATCAGATAGCTGAGACTGAAGATTTATCCGTTGTTCTTTTTCCTGTGAGCAAACTTCACGAAGATTGTTGAGCTTCTTCTCCAACTCTTGGTTCTTCTTCTTTTCAGCTTCTAATGCATCCAGGGAGATTTTCTCATCTTTGAGATTCTCAAGCTTCTCAAGAACATCTTCAACTGGATCCTTCTCCATTTCCAGAATGTTTATCTGTGCCTTCATCATGGCTTTATCTTTTGTCAGTTGCAGGTTCTCTTGACTCAGTTGAACCCAGTTCTCATAGAGCTTTCTGTACTTTGCTTTAGCATCAAAGTCATCCTCCTCATCCTCACTATCTGTACCACCTTTTGACTGTGATTCCTGCATTTCTGACTTCTGTTCGTCTGCCATGAAGACAACAAAATTCAACATCAGGTTTTCCTCTTCATCATCTTCATCACTTCCAGATTCAGAATCACCAAGAGCCATAAGAGATCTTTCCCTAGACTTCGAGTTATTTGGACATTCCACCCTAGTGTGGCCTATTCCTTTACACTCTGTGCACTTAAGTTCCTTTCTTTTAGTCAAAGGATACTCGTTTCTGAAATGACCATAGCCTTCACATTCATGACACTGAAGATCCTTCTTTCGCATACTTCTATCTCCTTCAGCTCGATAGTTGCGTGAGTTTCCACGGTCGGAGTCATTTTCTGAAACTTGGAGGACTTGTTCTGACCTTTTTCAACTCTCTTCAGCATTTTGTTGAAATTCCTTGCTAACAGTCCTAGTTGCTCTTCGACTTGATTCACTCGTTCACTTTCTGTAGACGCAGTGAATGCCAGGTCCTTCTGCTTTGCTTTTCCATCAGCATTAGCTTCCAACTCTTCGGCCTTGAGCATACCTACTAGAGTATTGAACTTCATATCATCAGAATCCATAGAGTACTTCACCACAGTCTTTTGGGCAGCATACTTAGGAGGCAAACACCTGAGAAGCTTTTTGACAAGCTTCTTATCCTTATACTTCTTTCCAAGCACCAGTGCCTCATTCGCTAGTGTGCTGATCTTGGTAGTAAAACTGGTAATGGACTCATCCTTCTCCGTTTTGAGATTTTTGAATTGAGACGCAAGATGATCAATTCTTGTTCTTTTCACACTGGTATCTCCTTCGAAATGATTAACCAGCGTGTCCCATGCTTGTTTCGCGGAAGAGCATCCCTGAATCAAGCTGAACTCATCCAAATCAACTGCTTCGAAGATTGCATTTATGGCCTTTGAGTTGAACTTGGAGGTATTTTTCTCAACATCAGTCCATGTGTTTTTTGGTTTAGGTGTGTTTTTTGTTACACCAGCATCATCAACTGTTGCCACAACCGGAGCAGTCCATCCTTCTTCCACAGCCGTCCAGGCATCTTCATCTATTCCTCGGATGACATGTCTCATTCGAGTTTTCCAGTGACCAAAATTCTCTGCATCCAGTCGCAGCGGTTTCTGCACCGCGATGAGTTTTGCCGTATCCATCCTGTCCTCAGGACCTACACCTGTTAATAGGTTCTCAATCTATGTAGGTGAACTCGCTCTGATACCAAATGTACAATCAGTAGAATGGATATGCAAGCAATACCAACCGAATGCAAGAACCTTTACTCTTTATTAGGAATCACTTAGATAATCTCTACAGACTTATCTAATCCGAATTATACAACTTTGCTCTCAGCAAAATGACACTGACCAATTCCTAACTACCCAACACAACGACAGTTGTGTAACCCTAAATCTAATCACTCACCAGAACCCCAAACTCGCTCTTCGCTCAGTTTCTTGTGATGATACAATTTCTCTCAAAACGGCTAACCCTCCAACTGAGAGGTAGCCACGCATATATACCACATCTCTTGCTGAGCCGTGTATATCTGCTTTCCTTAGTTGGGATCTCCAAAATCTTCCCAATATCTCCTTTAAATAATATCCTTGATGTGCAAGTAATCATTCGCCTTGTACCAATCAGCTCTCGCCAGCTCAGCTTTACTATCCTTCCAAGTCCACGTCGATTTGCAGCTTTCCGCGCCAAAACTCCTTCTAATCCAATCTCCAGAACTATGAAGCTTATATTTTGGACCAGATCCATATATCTACCCGTCTGGCTACGCTTGAATCGCTAAATCCTTTCCAAGTGAACTTGAACTGAAAGTCTTAGGAAGCGCCACTAGATCAAGAGCAACTTTATTACTAGAGTTTTATATCAAAACAATATCTGCAAATGCACGGTTTAAAATACATCCTTGTACCAATATTAGGCCAAAAAATAATTTCACTAGAAATGTGAGATCCAAATTATCCTAAATCAATTGGGTTTACTGTTTTTTTTTTTTTTTTGAAGCTAAGTAAAGACAAACACTAAACAAGAGCTAAGACAAACAATTTAAAACATAAACAAGAAAACAAGACAGAAGAAATGAGAAAGTATATACACAATAAAGATTAGCAAATACGGGACTTGGAATCACATCCACAAAAAAGGTTTTGATCTTTCTTCTTTCAGTCCCTGGTGCTATGTAATAATTTATTTCATTAATCACCTAAACGTGCTAAACTTGTCGACAATAACCATATAGTAGATTTGATCGTGTCAATTTCTTTCGCACAGAATAAATTTATTTTGAATGTTTATATCTAATATTAGTTCTTGGACAAGTGTCAGTATTCAGAAGCTTATTCATAATGTCATCGTAAATCATCTTCCCACCACAATCGCTACCTACTAACCTCCAGCGACTTTGTTGTCAAGTATCAAATTACCTTTTGCTTTTTTTTTTGGCGCTTTTTTTTTGTCAACTTTTGTGCGCTTTAGACCTTAGTTTTCATTTTCTTTTTGTTTTTTTTATCAATAAATATATAAATACTACTCCTACTAACTTAAGCTCTATCACTTACTCGACTTTACAATAAAATCCTGACTTCAAGTTAGTGCTTCAAGGGAAACCGCAAATCAGTTACAAAAAATGAATAATATGATATATATATATAAGTATGTGTATAAGTTTTAGAAAATTAAATCATTTTAGAGCCAGTTTTGCAAACTTCATTTTGATTTCATTTATTTTTAAAATCTAAATATATATTTATGTTTGTTATAATATAATTCCAAATTAAAAATATCAGTATAATTTATGAGATGATAAAAAAAATGCCAGCTTTCTTGACTTGTACATTTATTGGCCTAACTTTCTGCCACATACGAACCTACCTCTCTTCTAAGTTCCAACTTCCATTTGTGTTGGTATGCGCTATGGTTCATCTGTTTGTGGGTTCTTCTTTTGTAGTTGTTTTTCTTACTATAGTAGTTTTATTCTTTTGTATTGTCTTGTAATTCTGTAAAAAGTCAAAAATAGTATAAAACTTAACATTCATACCAAAAATTAATATTTGAATATATATTTTGGGTCCGCGTGCATGCCGTATAAGCCACCGATATGGAAGCTGATTCACTAGATGTACGTGGTATTTTACAAGTGATATACCAAAACTCGTTCCTAATCATTCACCAAAAATTCTGTTAAAAAAAAAAAATTCACCACCTAGTTTATATTAATACAAAATAATTGATGACTCTTTAGTCTTGCATGAAAACTTTTGACGACGTGTCTTGAGTAGTCTTGAAGAAGTGATGTGTGTCTTGAATGTGGATGTTGCATACTTGCATGCCTTGAGTACTTTTGGCATAATTTATCTTGTTCACTTGGAAGAGTTTTCTTATGAGTCTTGTATTCATCTTGCTTAATTGTTCATCTTGTCTTATTTCTTCTCAGAAAAAAACATGTATATTTTTTTTCTTGAAAGTGTTAGTCTTTTTGATGATTATTGAGTATGTGAGTAGCTTGATTTGTGATCATCCCATAGAAGAACTATCTTTAGCCACCGATGCTCATAAGCTCATTTTTAATTATTATCTAATTTAACATATTGGGTGGAATTAATTCCAAAGAATGACCCTAAAGGATCAGAAAATTAAAAAAAAAAAACAATAATACGTACAGCACAAGAAACTTTCTTACTGTAAGGTTGCTAGGCCTAGGCGCTAGCCAGTTAGGTTTTGGTAAATTAGCGTCTAACAAACTTGTGAACATTGAAAGATTAAAAAATTATTGAATTATTTTAATTTAAAAAGATTCTTGAATTTGATATATAACTATGTTTTGGAGTAAACACACGAGATTCAAAAAATATTAACATGTTAAATATTCGAGAAAACACATGACTTATGGGGTTTGGATGACCAAGTTATCATAAATTATATAAAACATTACTTTAGAAAAATAGTTTAAAATAGAAAAAATCTATAATAACACATTAACTAATTTTCTGTTACCATTTTAAATATTGTTTCGTACACAGAACAATACAACACAACGTTTTTTTCGATTTGTAAGTAAAGTTTATTGTATGACTGTTTTTTGGTTTCAAATTTGTGCTATATCGTAATTAAATAAACGGTTAAGCAATGAAGAAAAATGAGAAAAAGGGCAATTGGTATATTCTGCGTATATAAGAAAATAATGTACTAAATGTTAAATTAAAAAAAGTTGGTCCACTATAATGAATCGCATTCCTTTCAACCATTTATTCTGTTTTTTCCACCATTTTATGAATTACCGATATACTGTATGTACGAAACACACAAGCCATAGTAAATAAAATAAAAACTTGTGAAGATGAGTTAGTTGGGAGCGTGCAACATGAAATAGTTCACCCACCTTTCTCCTATTTATTACTACTTCCGTTCTCCATCTATACCTCTCTTTCCCACACGTCTCTCTTCATCTATAAGAACAGATTTCAATCATCTCATTCTCCATATAGAAAAATTTAATAACCAAAACCTCAAATTTCTCAATCAGAAGAAGAAAGAGACGATGACGAATCAAGACAAGCCCACGTCTTGTTGCTGTGTTCTTGATGCTTCCACTTATGTGGGTTTCTGGATTCTCAAGAGATTGCTCGCCAAAGGCTACTCTGTTCATGCAGCCATCCGTAAAAACGGTAACTCTACTCTTATTCTCCAATGAGTTCAATCAAAAAATTTCTCTCTTTTCTTTTTTCATTTGATTGCAAGAATTCGAGGCCAAGCGTTCGTTATTCTCTCCCAACTCTGTTAAGGGTACAATAAAGTTTTAGCTTTTTTCTAGTTTTCTTCATTAATTCGAGTTAAAAGAGAGTTTTTTTTTTTCTTTCCAATTGATTTGATTTCTGGGTACAATCAAAGATTAAATTTTTCCCATTGACTCAGAATTTCGTAGCAAAGGGTTCTTCTCTCTCTGTTTAGATTCTAATGAAATGGTGATTTTGGTAATAGGGGAGAGTATGCTTGAGGAGATAATCAGGAACATGCAAGCTACAGAAGAGAGATTAGTGGTTTACGATGTGGATGTGTTAGATTACCAAAGCATCCTTGTTTCTCTCAACAATTGTAACGCTGTGTTTTGTTGCTTGGACAATCCTGAAGGGTACGATGTGAGTTTTCTCAAATGTTAATCATCACTCTCTACACTTTTTTTTTGAAAAAATCTCTCTGTTTTGTGTATGATTTGAGGATTTTGTTACGAAATGATGTGATTGTTCAGGAGAAGGAAGTGGATTTGGAGGTGAGAGGAGCGATTAATGTGGTGGAGGCATGTGCAAGAACAGAGACTATAGAGAAGATTGTGTTCTCTTCTTCGTTAACAGCTGCGATTTGGAGTGATGACATTAGAACTCAGAAAGATGTTGATGAGAAGTGTTGGAGTGATCTAGACTTCTGTGTCAAAAAGAAGGTCTTTTTATCCAACTCTTTTTTATTGGTTTAGTTCGGTTAATTTGAAAAGTTCATAAATTGGTTGAGAAATTTAATGACTGAACTAAATAGAACCCACGATTTATAAATACATGATAATTTTGAGTTGGAATCACCAATTATTTGATGTATTTTTCAATCTCATATTCCATCTGATTTACAAAAAGGTTAAATTCTATACTAAGAAAAAATTCTATATTTTTTTAGTGTGCTATATAATAAAAGGTTAAATATGTTTCTCTCTCTCATAAACTTGAGTTTTAGTTTCAAAATATACAATGAAATATAAAACTCTATTTTTGGTAAAACAAAAATAAAACCAAATACAATACTTTTTGCTTAACAATAAATTCAAATTTGGGTCGTTATGAAGTGTATTCTCGTTCGTCATGTGATGACTAGAATAAGGTCCAGATTCAATTCAATCTAAGACTACCTTAAGAAATATTAAAGAGGTCAAACTTCTATATTATGTAGAAGTTTAATATAGTTTAACTAACTTAGAACATAGTTTAAAATAGTACTTAACTTTCTAACTACCTTTGTTCCATGGATTTTTAACTAAGCCAATTAGTCGATCCGCTCATATCCTTTTTTTTTAAACACGTGCGTTTGCCTATGCAGCTATGGCATGCTATGGCGAAGACACAATCCGAGAAGGCGGCTTGGGCACTAGCCATGGACCGTATGGTCAACATGGTCTCGGTCAACCCGGGACTCATCGTTGGACCCTCAGTGGCTCAGTACAATTCTAGACCCATAATGTCTTACCTCAAAGGTATATACAACACATTCACTCACTCAATATATATGTGTATATGAGTAATGATTGAATTGTCATGGAAATGCAATTGCAGGAGCTGCGCAGATGTATGAGAGTGGAGTATTAGCGTACGTAGACGTCGAGTTTGTAGCAGATGTTCACATTCGAGCATTTGAAGATAGTTCAGCTTGTGGTAGATACTTTTGTTTCAACCAAATTGTGAATACCGAAGAAGCAGCTCTCAAGTTTGTGGAAATTCTATCTCCTTTAATACCTATGCCAGCAAGGTAAACACTATTAATACCATTTTCGCTTTTATTTTATTTTCAAGATATATATATATATATATACCTGGAGTTAGAAATAAAGTTAACGTGTAAAATTTCTTCTTAACGTTAATAGAATACTTATATGATTTAGGTATGAGAAAGAGATGCAAGGAAGTGAAGTTTATGAGGAGAGATTGAGAAACAAGAAACTAAACAAGCTGGTGGAAGCTGGCTCTGCTTGTTAAGTGTAATTAGAGTATTGTTATAAGTTAAAAGGAAAGGGTAAAAAAAAAAATTTCGTTTACTTTTTTTTTTATTGTAATCTCAATTCATTTTTTACTATAATTTTTTTTTTGTTACTTCATTTGAAACATATACAGTCGGTGTTACTTAAAGAAAAATGAATATTTATTGTGTGTTCTCTCTTTGATTGTAGAACACAATCTGGATTTACGATATATACTATGAAATATGAATTAAGCTTAACAATAAATAAAATTTATAACGTACACTATTAAAGTGTCAGTGAATATGTGTATGAATTATCCGGTGCTATAAGCCTTTGACACTTCACCTTTGCAATCTAAGAAAGAACATACAATCTATTGGATGCGCTAATATCATCGTTTTATTATTATATATTCACTGTTCAGGCGTATATTATATTGTTCAAAGTTTCATGTTTTTTTGGTCGAAAAGAAGTTTCATGCTTTATTAACCCTAAGGAAGTCTGTTCGTAATGGATGTAGAATTAGTTCTGTCGTTATGGACATAGTTGTCAACTGCAATATATTATGAGCTGTCAACTTAAACTATATATTATATTATTATAGGTTTCTCACTTCTAAAATTATAAAATTCTACATCCATGAATAAAACGTACCAAAATTGGATCAGTTATAAAATTATAAAATGCAAGAACATAATGAATAAAACGTACCAAAATATTACAATAATTTTCTCAGTCCACTAAAAAAAAGCTTACCAAAAGTAAAAAGTATAGGTTTTCATATGTAGATTTTTTTTCTTCTTCTTCTTCTAAAAAAAAAAAAATATATATATATATTTAAGAGGTCAAGAGTTTGAAATTTTAGATGGTAAAATAGTCTATTTTTTTTCTAACCTGTAGTCTTTTAAAATTCAGAAACGACTTTTGTTAGTGGCTAGATTCACTCATAGAAAATGTATTGATTTATCAAGAGATGTTTGTCCTGTGATGAAATATGTTTCCATAGAAGTTTTCGACGCTTCATCTATGGTTAGGTTACACGTTTCAGGTGAGTTGAGTTTTGAATATCATTGACCTTTTTGTCCATTATCTTTATCCGCTAAAAACTGCATTTTTCATGTTTTACATCTTTTTCTTGGGACAATATTTGTCTTCTTCCATTATGAATCCCAGATAGAATTCTTAAGCTTACTCTTTTGAGAAACCCGAGTAGATTGGTTAAACATGAAAGCAAAACCTTGCCTTTTGTCAATTTCGTTCCTTCCATAGTTACCATACAAAACCAATTATAAAGCTTTAAATGGTTGTTCAGTCCACTCTGCATCGAACTAATAAACTAATATTTTGGTACGCTAAGGTGTATACTACATATGGTACACTTCGGTTTTGGAGTGGACTGAAAAAATTGGATGAAAAGTGATAATTTGGTACACATCTACTGTTCATTGTGTGCTAACATGTTGTTTTTGTCCGAAGCTGGTTTGAAATTCGTTCGAAGTAAATCATACAAAAATGCTATTGGTAAAAAAGAAGTAGACAAATCCGACTTTCGTCTGAGCTGGAATGGATTATACAACCATTCAATGTCTCAATGTTTTAGACAATTTCTTAAAGATGGAACAAATGGAACAATGCCTATGTCATTTTCTGTACTAATGTGTAAAAAAGTGTAATTCACTACTAAAAAATATTTTTAATAATAGAAGATTTGAAAGTTTATTTACAAATAACTAATTTAATAACATAGGATTTTTTTTTAAAAAAATTTATGTTTGAAGAACTATTTGTTACGAATCATTTTTAATATTTTCTACATTTATATTATCGTCCAAAAATAATTAAAAAAATCTAAACTGAAATTAAATTTCAAACATCATTTAAAAAAAATCTACGAATTTGCGTAGGTACTTATCTAGTTATTACTGAAAGCAAGCTTCCTTCCCAAGTTAAATACTGTTCTTTCTATTTAAATTTCAGGAACTAAACAAAAACTACAAATTTAGACTTTAACTATTAGTTTTTTTTTTTGTTAGAACATGACAATTCCTATAATGTTAATGGAAGATTTCTAATTGTCTCTGATTTTGTTTTAATTTTGCTAGTTGTTAAAAAAAAGTAAATGATATTCTTCCCATTTCAATTTTGGGAGTATTAAAGAAAAAATAGAGATTTAGACAATTTCGATAATGTTAATGAAATAGTTCTAATTTTCTCCGATTTACCTCTTTTTTTGTATGTTTTTTCTTTCTTCTTAGGGTAGGCCTCATATATATATATATATATATATATATATATATATATATACATAAGAAGGCAAATAATTTTACAAGCATTCTTCTACTTTCCAAACCATCTTCGGTTAAAAAAAACTAGCAAGATGAATTATTATTGTGAGTATAGAATAGACCCGGCTATGATCATATCAAAAAAGCTATCAAAGAGTGATCTTGATGGTAATGTGAAACTACCGAAAAAACAAGTAATGTCTGTTCTCAGGAAGATGAAAGGCGTTACACAAGAGACTTTGCAAAACGGTATCGAAGTGAAAGTTCTCAACACAGCTGAAGCAGATCCCAACACTAACTATAGAGGCGATGAGTACACAGTTACTCTGAGATGTATTGGCAATAATAAATTTTATTTCGGGGTTGGTTGGGGTACTATGAAGCATTCAATGGATCTCAACGAAGGCGAAACTCTGAAGCTCTACTGGGATTACTTAGAAGAAGCATTCATTGTTCTTAATATTCCATATTTAGTTATAGACGATGATGAGATTTGATGTTGTAGTTCGACTACATCTATCTTCCTTTATGCTTTTCCTATGTTTTACCTTATGTTTTGGATTTTATATTCTAGTTAAATGTTGTTTTTTCCCTATTTTGGTATTATTTCTAATCTACCAATAATAACAATCTTTAATTATGGAATAATGATGTGATTTGATGATGTAGCTTGGTTTTCCTATTTTTACCTCATGTTTTGGATTTTATATTTTAGTTAAGTGTTGATTTATCTTTTCCCTACTTTTTTCTGATTTTTTTCTTATATATGCTAACGGGCATAGCACGGAAACATCTTTGCTTACATCATTATATTATATGTGAAGTCTTAATCTGATGTGTCGCGCTCACATGGATTCTCGGAAAAAATAATGATGTGTCTTATTATTATTCGTCTAACTTAGTCTAATTTGCTTACATGTCGTTTTCACTTAAATCAAACCAAGAATTTTCACTTAAATCAAACCAAGAATTTTCAGTTAAATCAAATCGAGAATCCCATTTTGAATATACCGATATTTTTTAAAATGATTTCGAATGGTTTACCTGACCAAATGAATTCTGATTTTGTTTCGTTAATTAATACTAACCAACTGATTTTCAATATAAGTTTTAATTATTTTCATTTAAATCAAACCAAAAATTTGCACTAAAATCAAACCGAGAATCTGATTTCGAATATATCAATATTTTTTAAAATGATTTCGAATGGTTTACCTGACCAAACAAATTCTGATTTTGTTTCGTTAATTACAACTAACCAACTGATTTTCAATATAAGTTTTAATTATCGGTTTGATTTGGGTAAAACAGTTGAATTCAGAATAAGACATTTATCTTGATAAAACCCCATGTCGGTTTCACTTAAATTAACCGAGAATCCAAATTCGAATATACCAAAAATTTTAAAATGATTTTGAATGGTTTACCTGACCAAATGAATTCTGATTTTGTTTTGATAAGTTTTAATTATGGGTTTGATTTGGGTAAAACGGTCGAATTCGAAATAAGACATTTTCTTTGGTAAAAACCCTATGTCGGTTTCACTTAAATCAAACCGAGAATCTGATTTCGAATGTACCAAAAATTTTTAAAATGATTTCGAATGGTTTACTTGACCAAACGAATTCTGATTTTGTTTCATTAATTTCACCTAACCAACTAGTTTTTAATATAAGTTTAATTATTGATTTGATTTAAGTAAAACAGTCAAATTCTGGATTAGCCATTTTCTTTGATATAAACCCCACAAATTCAAAATACAACTAACCAACTAATTTTCAGTATGAGTTTTAATTATTTTTCACTTAAATCGAACAAAAAATCCGATTTTGAATATACCAATATTTTTTAAAATGATTTCGAATGGTTTACCTGACCAAACGAATTCTGATTTTGTTTCGTTAATTACAACTTACCGATAACACCGTATTTATACCTATTTTCACTAGTGTTTTCTTATGATATTTCAAAGGTCTATTTTCAAGTGATTTTGTCATGGTTTTCCTATATTTGTAGTTTCAATACTCTTTTCAGGTTACTTAGCAAAAACAATGCAAATTGAAGAAAAATTCACTTTTGGCCAATTTCGGACCGTCAGAAATTTTACATCCGATTAAGACTTTCTCATCATCTGATCAAGCTCAAATTTGGACACAATATATAGGAGACAACCAGCTTTCTAATAAAATTGGATTTGATGCAATCCAACGGTTGGATCCTAGGTTATACCCAATTTACTGAAGACATGTTATGTAGTCTCGCGAAAGAAGAAAGAGAAGGAATAAAGTTTGGACATCACAAGCCAACCAACGCGGTCCAGGAGCTCGTGACCGCGGTAGAGACCCTCCTGGCCGCTCCTCAGAGTCCTCCAACCGCGGTGAACCATCATTCACAGCCCTGGAGAGACTATTCTGTGACAAGCCATTTTTGTTCCAATGGCCCGTTTTCAAGTCCAATTCATTTTCTCTTCAAAGAAAAATCTAATAACGACCAGAAAGATTTGGAGATCTATAAATATGTATTTTAGAATATCTAATTCGTGTGTGCTCCTTTCCCCTTGTTAGAGAGGCACTCAACTTTTGTTTCTTATGTTTAGATTAGGGAGATAGAGATTTTTCTGTTAAACCTTTGTTCTTTCTTTTCATCTATCTATTCAGTTTGTGAAATATCTTTTACTTTACTGCTTTTCTATTTCAAAACCAATGATAATGTTGTCAAGCTCACCTATGTATGAGTAGTTACCTTGTTGGGTAAGAGGGCCATCAAAAGAGACCCCATGACTGATGACATATAGGTTTTTTAGGTTAAAGGATTTTGATTTTATATGATTCTCCCATTCATCCTGTACTCAAGGCGGTACGCTGGAGTAGATAATCAGTGTCCGATCCATGGTTAAATCCGAGCCACAAGACTGTTGTATCTGGGTTATCTGAACTGGATCTTATGGACGTCACTGTCGTAGGAGACGAAAGCTACCTACGAAGGATATGTAAGCCGAGTTAGATTCCGATCTGAAATGCATGATCTTATTTCGGCATGAGAGCGAGAGTTAATTGCCGATTTTAAGTGATTAGATGATCAGGATGATGAGAGTTGGATAATCTTATAAGTGTCTATCCTAGTTTCAGAGTCATAGAAAATCCTTACCTAGATTCCTTGTGTCATAGATCATGAACCCTAGAGATGAACCCTAATACCCAACGCGTTTTTCATCCGTTGTTCTCGTATATTGCTTTTAGTTTTATTTCTTGTTTAGCTTAGTAGAAATCGTGACACCAAAATCCCACAAAAACCCCCATTAGTCTTTGACTTCGATTACTAATCCAGTTTGAGGTTTTTGCAGAAAAGACAACTCTCCATGTGGATCGACACCCTAAGTACTACAACGCACTGCTGTGCACTTGCAGACACTAAGATTTACAAATTTAAAACTTCATCTGCGACCCTTCAACCCTAGTTCGCATCACTAACCAACTGGTTTTCAATATAAGTTTTAATTATCGGTTTGGGTAAAACGGTTGAATTCTGAATAAGACATTCTCTTTCATAAAAATCCCATGTCGGTTACACTTAAATCAAACCGAGAATCTGATTTTGAATATACCAAAATTTTCTTAAATGAATTCGAATATACCAAGATTTTTTTAAATGATTTCGAATGGTTTACTTGACCAAACGAATTCTGATTTTGTTTCGTTAAGTTCAACAAACCAACTGATTTTCAATTTAAGTTTAATTATCGATTTAATTTAAGTAAAACGGTCGAATTCAGGATTAGCCATTTTCTTTTATAAAAACCCACAAAATCAAAATATTCTGGTATGGTTTTAATGTTTCAACAAACTAATGGTATTTATGTATTAATTTAATTACTTAGATTTTGGTATAGAGTAATTCTTTCACGATTAGATTCTGATTTTAACCTCATTCGTTAGTCGAAGGTTAAATGATTTTGTTGTAAAATGTTAGTTTAACTAAACTAAAACAAAAAAGTTAAATTTACAAAATAGTACAATCGGTAATGCTATTATACCCATATTTAAGATATAAAAGGATAATAGTCACATATAAAAAAAAACTTCTTCCACGAAAGAGAAATTTTATGCATATCAAAATAGTTAGTTTGACAAATTGAATCAAATAAGAAAAATAAAATATACCAAAAAGTTCTCTAATACTTCCATCTAAATATCTTAATTGTAAGTTTAACAAAAAAAATTAAGCAGATAAATATACCAAAAAATAAAAACCATAATTCTTATTATCTTTATATAAAACCACTTTTCATAACCCCTAACCCTATAATTCACGCAGCTGCACATCAACAAACACTTAAATAGGTCATGCTCCAGTTTTTTCCCTTTTGTTTGTTCTTCCTCTCGTGGAATCATGTTTAGCCAAAGCTTGACGCATGCATTAGTTCAAGCACATGGTAATTTTCATAACACTTATCTTCTTTTAAAATGCACTGATTTATTGCCTCATAAATGCAGCAATATAGACAATAGAGTTTTAGAAAAGAGGATTACCACATGCGCATATAGTTTTTTTTCTTAGTTTCTTAGACCATCTCCATCGCTGGGTTCAGATGGAGTTCTTATATACTTTTACTAATTAACATAAATGAAAATGCAAAAAGTTCTACAAACCCGATCTCTAAAACTCTTATATAAAAACTTCATTTAAGGGAGGTTCATAAAAACGTGGCACACTTTCATTGGTTAATTTTTTTCTGGGACACTCTCTCTCCTCCTTTCCTCTCTTCTCTCTCCATTTTTAAATGTTTTTTTTTGGTGGAGACTTTCTCTTTTCTCTTTCCTCTCAAAATTTATTATTAAAATTTTTTTTAGAACCTATAGTAGAACTCAGCGATGGACATGCTCTTAGGTCTTGGTGAGGACATCAACAAGTTTATTAGTGCTGAGAATCCTGATAAAGATGAAGATCCCCTTCTATACGACATTATTGGTAAGGTCATGTTACATGGACCATGCAACACAAACAATCAGCGCAGTCCTTGTAGGGTAGGTAGGAAAATGTTCAAAGTTCTTCCCCAAGACCTTTAATACAAAAAAAAAACTATTGATGAAGCTGGTTACCCGAAATATCAGAGGCGGAAAGATGGTAGAACAATTAATAAGAAAGGAGTTGAATGTGATAACTCTTAGGTTATTCCATACAATCAGGATCTATTGATTCGATTTTGAGCCCACATCAATGTCGAATGGTGCAACCAATCATGCTCTATTAAGTTCAAATACATAACCAAAAGCCCTGACTACGTAATAGTTGGAGTTGGTGAAAGTGATAAAAAAAAACGAAATAAAAGAGCATTATAGTTGCAGGTTAAAATTTGATTTTTTAACTATTATTTTAAGTTGTTTTTCATTACAAACCAAAATTTTTAAATATGGAAACAAATAACCACAATGAAACTATATTTCATTACTCTATAATGTTAAATTTTTTAGTCTTATCAATTAACTTTTTTAGTTTC